CTACAAGCAATAGTTTTCATTTTCATTTGATTCCAACAGTAGTATTTAATTATATGCAGTTCATGATACCTCTAGTACACTTGTTGGGACTTCAAATGCTTTATACATCATGATAATGTAATTCATATAGATGGAACAAAATGGAAAGTCATTGGGGGAAATTGTATTGTGAATGATAGAAAAGCTCAAGTTATGGGCTGGCACTGTGGTGTAGCAGGTAAAGCCACCACCTGTAGTGCCAGCATCCCATATGGGCACTGGTTCAAGTCCAAGCTGCTCCACTTCCGATCCAGCTCTCTACTACGGCCTGGGAAAGCAGTAGAAGATGGCCCAGGTGCTTGGGCCCCTGCACCCATGTGGGAGACCCAGGAGAAGCTCCTGTATCCTGGCTTCAGATGGGCCCAGCTCCGGTCATTGTGGCCATTTGGGGAGTGAACCAGCAGATAGGAGATTCTCTCTGACTCTCTGTCTCTCTCTCTTTCTCTCCTTTTCTCTGCCTCTGCCTCTCTCTCTCTCTCTCTAACTCTGCCTTTCAAATAAATAAATAAATATATATTTAAAAAAAGCAAAGAAATGCTCAAGTTATATCCCTAAACCTTTTCATTTTTAGAAGTCAAAGTACCTGGGATAATGATAAAGGGGGCAGCTTGAGATTATGTAAACAAATGCAATGCAATTCAACGTGAGCACTTTATTCTTTAGATTTAAGTTGTGGTACTTCTGCCTAGGATTATGATTATGTATCATGGGCTATTATATCTTTCCTTTTTGTATATTCAGCTTGGGGAGGCTTGTTTGTTCCTCTTGGTATGTGGAAATTTCCTTGATGGTTGGGGTGGACTTACTTGTTAAGTGAAATAATGGCTGGATTCTGCTTGTGTAAGGATTTTTAAATATGTGATGTCATTAGGTAGGGACATGGCATTATTTAATTTGTGTCATTTTACTTGTCTAATGACTCTCATTTGAAAAAAACTTACCTTTTAAAAGTTTTTACATTGACAGAAAACTGAACAGAGAGCACACAGAATTTTTGTGTACCCCTTTACCCACCCCACCTGCAGTTCTCCTCATTGTTAATATCTTGCATTAGTTGCATTTGTTGCAACTGATGAGACAATATCGATGTAGTATCATTAACTAAAGTCATAGTTGACATTAGGATTCCCTGTTGTCCTGTACATTTATGAGTTTTGATAAATGCATATGGACGTATGTTCATCATTACACACAGAGTAGTCTCACGGCCCTAAAAATCCCTTGAGCTCCAATTATACATTCATCTTCTCTATCAATTGTGGACACCATCTTTTTACTGCTGCCATAGTTTTGCCTTTTCCAGAACATGACGTGATTGGATTTATATAGTGTGTAGCTTTTGGAATTAGGTTCTTTCACTGAGCAATATGCCTTTATGGTTCCTCCACGTCTTTTCATTTATCACTGAGTGACATCTCGTTGAATGGATGTACTACAGTTTGTTTATCCGTTCATCATTGAAGAACATCTTGGTTGTGTCCAAATTTTTGCAATTATGAATAAAGCTGCTATAAACACTCCTAGCAGGTCTTTTTATGTGGACCTAACTTTTCAATTTGTTCAGGTAAATATTAAATTACCCTTTTTAAAATAAAAATTTATATATGTTATTCATATTTTGAAAATGGTATTTTGCATTTTATGGTTAATGCCTGTGCTTCTTCCAATTCCTTTTCTTTAATATCATTTCAGTTTTGCCATACATAAATCACACAGAATAATAGATGCACATCAACCACTTTCTTTCTGAAAAAGGAGAAAATTGTTTCAATTCTTGGAGTTTCCCTGATATACTGAAACTTGTTGGTAGGGCTGGTCCTGAAATAGCTTTCGTACTGTTTCTTCAGGGGGGTGTTAACTCAAATAATCAAAACATACTGCATCATGCTACTTGTTTCTGCAATCACATCCACTGTGTAGAATGAATTTTGTTCTTCACTTTGATGATGCCCCTATCTATTCATTCCAATCAGAGACTCTGCCTAAGGAGAAGAGATGACTTCAGAGTTCCTATCCTCCATAAACTATGTGTGCTCTTGGACAAGTTACTCAGATTTTCTAATCTTCAGTGTCCTTGTTTGTGCAATGGGCCTGATAATGTCCAGCTTGCAAGGTGACGTTGAGGATTTGAGATGATGTGAGTAACCCATCTGCCTCCTATCGCCTGCCACAGAGGGAACAATCTGTTAATGGTGTGGGAGAGATGATGAGTACTAAGTATTACCGTTTAGTACAGCACATATGTAAACTCTAGAGAATTAGGTAGTTTGTGTTTTGATGAGGCCATTTTACTGGAAAAGAATAATGACTAACACACTGATGTGTCTCTCAGAAGCCTCCTTTCTCTTAGGCACTGCTGTCTTCTCACACTTAAAAGCATTCAGTTTTCTCCTTGCTATCCATGTCTAACTCCTACTTTTCTTGCCTGTAGGATTTCTGCCCTTCCAGCTTTGTCCCCTTAGCAGCTAAGGATCTAATAAACAAGCAGTTGTTTTCTTTGTCCATTCCTATTTCACACTCTCTCATCAGCAGAACTTTTCTCCTTTTCCATGCCCATCTGAGGCTTCCTAATAATTCCACATAGCATCAATGTGTGCTTCAGTCCACGGAGTTCTTTGCAGCTCCCTCTTCTTATCCTGACACCTACAGAACATTAGGCGACTGGCCATTTATTGGCTTATAGTCACATAACCTGTTGTTGTTCATCAACCTCAGCAAGCTGTTGAAGCTATAGATTATGGCTTCTATTCCTTGACCTCCATTCACATCACATATAGCTGCATGATTCATCGACATATTAGTACATTTGGACTCAATCGCAGATATGAAACATACTTGGCAGCCTTAACCCAAACAGATACAATGGACTCCTGGTTAACTTTAAAATAAAGAGCATATTCATTTGCCCTGGAAATGTTGAATCTTACCTAGAAGCAAGAATATGGACTTACTAAATATCCCTTTCTAATTGGACAACTCTGTCCTTTGATTTTGCTGAATGGGCAATGTCAGATTGTGGAGTAGCTGGGATTGATATTCATCATCAGGCACCAGTGCTGGCATCCACTGTACCCCTATGGACTCCATTATCTCCTAAGAGGCTTATATATAACCTTAATAGCAACACTAGCCCAAGTGACATGTAGTTAGAACAATTTTCTTAATTTTTATTTATTTATTTTTTGAAAGGCAGGCAGGGAGAGAGAGCGAGCGAGCAAGCGAGCAAGCATGCGAGAGCAAGTACTTCCACTTACTGATTTACTCCCCAAACACTCACAACAACTGGGGCTGATCTGGGGCCAAAACCAGGAGCCGGTAACTCAGCTCTGTTCTCTCATGTGAGTAGTAGGGACTCGACTACTTGAGTCATTATCTGCTGTCTCTCAGAGCACACGTTAGCAGGAACTGGAATCAGGAGCAAAGCCAGGACTTAAACCCAATCATTCAGAAATGGGATGTGGGCAGCCCAAGCAGGGTCTTAACCACTAGGCCAAATGCCTGCTCTGAAAGTGAATATTTCTACAATCAGAAATAATGTAAGAGATTCCAAATCCAAGTAGAATGTAGTTACGTAGACTATTTCATATTTGTGCTCATAATATTCTCTCTACTCTTTCCACAAACACAGCGTGACTGTCCTCTAAGCTACTTCTGTTGCTGTTGTCTGTGACAGAGACAATGTGTTTGCTGAAGGGGAAGCTTATTAACAAGGGAACTTGAACAGTCAGTACAGGTGATTTGTAGGATGTTCGTTCTGAATCCTGAGTCTGAGTGAGTCCAGAAAGCCATGGAATATTCCATATAAACCCACATGACTTCTGGGTGCTCTTCCCACCCCGAGGTCTGTTTCTCCTATAAGGGGTTAGAACTGCTGGCAGAGGCTGGCTGAGATCGGAGAAATCCTAGCCTCAACTGTTTTGGACAAGTGTCCGAGTCTCCGAGGAATATTCTGGACACAAGTGGATGCAAATAAAATGCTTGGGGTGCTCTGTCCTCCATCACAGGTGTTCACTGCTGTGACTGTTGTTCTTGTGACCCTTGCTTTATCGCCGTTTTGATTCCCGTTTGGAACACTACCTTGGGGCATCTTAAAGGAACATCTGTTTCCCAGGATGGAGTAATTTGGCAGAAATTGCCCTTGTTCATCAGATCTGGCATAGATAGACGGTTTGCCTAAGGTGGCTATTTCTGGGCCCTGGGCACTCTCCTGAAGGAGTAATTGCTGTCGCTTCAGGTACAGAGTGTTGAGGTGGCAACTAAAGGATGGGTCAAGTTTTGTTTCCTACCACTGAGATCTGAAAAGAGCCCATAGTACCTGCAAAGGAAGAGCCTGGCCCTGTGCTGGGTCTCCAGCGCTTCCCAGCGTTTGCACTATTGGGTGAGTTTTTCCAATGCGCTCTGTGATAACATCCACTCCTTTCCCTGCACTCCTGGCCCCCACATGCTGTTTTATTCTGTTCATGCTGAAAGAAAAGGTGTCAGTGTGCGCTCTATCTCTGCATTTGGCTCCAGGGATTTCCCTTTGATTTGGAAAGAATAATTGCAGATTCCGCTATAAAATATCCAGGAGACAGAGGAGAGAGAAAGTAAGCTCCAGGAATGTGTGCTGGTGTTGACATTTTGTTCATTTTGCCTATAATGAGCTGAGGGTGAATTATCTTTAGTGTTGCTCATGTGAATGATCAGTTACTATAAATCTGAATTACCATGAGTATTGCTTGCCATTGATTTATACTGCATTGGCTTAGTTTGGTCTCTATCCTTCAAGATAATCAAGCATAACCAATATGCAGCAGGTCTCTCCGAGGCGCCATTAGTTCCTGCACAGCCCCTAATCGCTCCTCCTCTGGTCTGCCTGAATATTTATGGTGAGTAGTAGCCAGTTATCTCTGGCAGCTGGCCCTGATTTCCTGCAGCACAGAGTTGCCCACATTCCCGTTTCAAAGCCAGGCTCACTTAAGTGTCACTAAAGGAGAGGGGGCGGAGCCACGGAGCCTTAAAAGAGAAAGGGGAGTCATCCACTCTTTTAAAAAAGAACTGCGCTTGGGCTTGGGAGGAATCCCATCTACATATTTCTGTCTTCAGTCTCACCCAAGGGTCGTGGTTGGAACTTTCCGTCAATTCTTTCTAAGCCTTTGCCTCGTCCTGCCTGTCACAGTCAAGGCTGCCCAAGGCCTCCAGAGTGTGGCTGTTCAACTGGGTGAGATTTGTCAGACGGGTGTCAGATGTTTCTTCCTCGCTCCTAAGAGCAACTCAGATAGATAAAGAAAGCGTCCCTGGAGTGTCCCTTCAGGCCGCCTTGAGCTGGAGGAAGACAGCAAGGAAACAGCAGAGTGAAAGATGCCCCAGGCTGAGGGCCCACCTGCGGGGACACCGCGGGGGTCCCACTGACCCACTGTGCTCCGGCTCTCCCGCACTCAGGTTGTTTTCTGTTGAAAGCTCCACCTCGCTGAGATTATGCTGCTCTTACTTATTCTGTTGCCAGTAGTTTTTAAATTCAGCTGTGTGAGTCTCGCAGCGCTGCAGCCCGGGAGCTGTCCTGAAGGCCGCCCGGAGGGACATGGGCACTCTCCTTGCCTGGGTAAGTCACCCAATGAGCGGAGCCTCGTGCGCCCCCGGAAACTGCCCTGAGACCTGCTCATTACTTCTGTATTCTGGGCCTTTGTTCTCCCGAGTCATCTCTGGGGGTGTATATTTGCTTACTTTGTATTTTCTGATGCCTGCTTTATTTCCTTACTGGCTGTTGAGAGCTCATCTGCTACCAACTACAAAAGTTCACGGCTTTCAAGCTGTGCTTCCGTGTGTGAGTAAAGAGACCTCATCTCAAATCAGCTGGACGTAGCTTTACACAGAAACCCCGGTGTTGATTCTGGCGTGAAGAGTCACTAACATTTGGTGATCAGTTTTGTATTGGAAACTGAAGAGACACAGGGATTTTTGGATTTTGAAAACTTTCTACTTAAGCTCTAAGGGAAAAAAAAATCCTTCCTTCTGATAACTGTGGGTAAGAGCTCAGAGGGTGCTGAAAGTCAGTGGGGAATGGGGAGGGAATTGTGAACAAAGGTGATTCTGTCCTTGTGGAAATTAACCCCCCCGTTTCCAGCTCAGCAGCCTCCTTCGCTTTCTCCTCTCTGGCCCCTGACACAGCTCCGACACAGCTCCGGCTTTTTAGCAACAGGTGCCCTGTAACTTTGAGAACAGCTAAGAAACAGCAACGGACGAATTAACCCCTCTCACAGTAAATGAATTTTTAACCCAGAGGAAATGAAGATTTTAATGACTACAAATTATAATCTTGCCCACGTATCTTACCTAAAAAAAGATCCTCTTTCACTGTTGATTCATTTCTTTCATCCTGGGAGGGTCTCCAGACTGCTTTCCAAACAAGAAGCTATTTCCACCTCCTGAGCTGCCCTGGCATTTCTGTCTAGTCATCTTGTCCTTCTGAGATGAAGTCTGACTTCCAAAAGGAGGTAGATTAAAGGATACACAGTACAGTGTCTGGGAGAGAAACCTCTAGAAGCTAACAAGACACTAAGAGTAAAGAGAGCTGAGCTGAGCCCAGCTGCAGGAGCTGGGCTGCTGACCTGGCTCTCCATTAAGGAAGTTACCAATGAGGAAATCAGGTGCTCTCTCTCCCAGTCTCAGGACTGACAAACTGCCTGGCGACAAACCAGGCAGAACTTTTTGTAACAGGTGCACAGAATCCCAGGGTATTTGAAGGGCAGACTGCATGCTAATTATCTTTATGTCCCCAGCACCTACTGAACATTCCCGCTTTTGTCGTATGTATTCAGTGAGTTCTTTTTTTTTAAACTTTTATTTAATAAATATGAATTTCCAAAGTACAGCTTTTGGATTACAGCAGCTCCTCGCCCCTCCCCCCAATAACTTCCCTCCCACTCGCAACCCTCGCATCTCCTGCTCCCTCTCCCAATCCATTCACATCAAGAGTCATTTTCAATTATCTTTATATACAGAAGATCAAGTTAGTATATATTAAGTAAGATTTCAACAGTTTCTTGATGAATGATTGGGGTCTTTCCCCTGACTTGCTAATCACAGAGTCCTGGAGATGAGCAACACAAGACAAAAAGGACTCTATGAACCTCTCACTCAGCTGTAGGAGACAGATGTAAAAACTTCCCCACAGTTACATCACGTGGACTGGAACCTTCTCGGGTGGGAGAATTTCCCTAGAGTAGTTGGCAAATCACCTAGGTCAGACATTGCCAACTGCCTAGCTTGTGAGGAGTAGGGTAGGAGCCAATGAGGCAGCCAGTGGCGAGGGAAGAAGAACCTAGATTTTTGAAGCAGAGCCCAGGGAAGGGAAGAAATGACAGAACTGAAATTGTCTAACTCTAGGGTCTGATTCCTGCTAGCCAGCAAGCCTATGCCTTGTATTTCTTGCCACCCTGCTGGTGGGTCAGAAATGCCTTTGCAGAGAAGAGTTGTACCAAATAAACATGAAGCCAGGGTGGAGAGGATTTGTGTCATAGAGTGGAGGGGACTCCGGTTTTAGAAGCAAACCAACATCATTTCAAATCCATGTTACCGACTTAATAGTTGAGTGACTTTAGAATATTGCAGGGAGGGACTGGCATTGTGACCTCGAGAGTCAAGTGCCACCTGCACTCTCAGCATCCCATATGGGCACCAGTGTTCTTGTCCTGGCTGCTCTACTTCCAATCCAGCTCTCGCTGCTAAAGCACCTGGGAAAAGCAGCAGAGAATGGCCCAAGTGCTTGGGCCCCTGCCACCCATGTGGGAGGCCTGGAGGAATGTTGCTGTCATCTGGGGTCTTGGGGTGTGGACCAGCAGTTGGAAGATGTCTCTCTCTCTGTCTCTCTGTGTAACTCTGACTTTCTAATAAATAATAAATAAATCTTAAAAAAATATCATTGGGAAATAATAGCCTACTGTCAGCCTACTGGGGATCACCTGAAATAATCCGCGAGAGGTACCTTACACAGTGACTAGCAGAGTAGGTGGAGTAAATGTTCTCTTGGGCTAAGGTCTTGGCTAAACCTCTTGGATCAATGGAGTGCTTGGATGCCCACTTTCTGACTGCCACTTTTTCTGGCTTAAATCCCCTTCTTCATCCTCCATGTCTCCTATTAGCTGTTAACGGCCTGGGTCACATCCTGCTACTCCTGGCATTTCAGAGGATGGTGTTTCTCCTCTCTAAATAAATATGGTGCCATCATCTGTCTTTCCCTCATTGAAATTCTACCTGTCTTATATCTTGCCCTTGGTGTTGAGACAGACCACTTCTGCAACCAGTCTGAATCGCAAGAACACTGCTTCATGGTCTGACAAGATTTTGGTATACTCAAGTGACTGCTAGCCAGGTAGATCAAATGGTAGCAACACAGGAAGGTTTTGTTTCCGTTCTCCTCCCCCACCCCCTTTAAAGAAATTGAATGAGTATTCTGTTAGTTTCTATTTGAGCTACAGATGAAGAGATCAGTAAAGAAAACCTCTGGCAAGTGGGTTCTGAACTTGGAAGCCTATTTGCCCTTGAGGACAAATATCAGCTGTAAGAGGAACTGTTCCTGCTTTCACGTCTGTCCTTGCATTATTTATATGAACTTTCTTGGTAAATATAGGGTGGAGGAAGAAGTTGAGCCTCAGAGAGCTGGCTGCATGAGAGATCCTGGGGTGGCTTGAAGGTTGCCAACTGGGTAGATCACTTTAGCAGTGAACAGTGAAATCTCTGATTTCGGCTCCAGCTAAGGCTTGGTCAGCTTCCCAGTCATGTGGAAACCAGAGTAATTCTTAGATCAGAATCTTGTTTGTGCAGCCAGAGTTATGCAAAGGTGTTTAAAAATTTAACTACAGAAAAATTGCTGAAATAGCCTCTTTGTACCAAAATGAAACCATTCCTCAAATAGCCAATGGTTTTTGATGTTTGGAGGGGGGTAGAATTTAGTGGTTAAGATAACAAATTTTGTAGACAGGCTATCAGCCTGAGTTCAAATCTCAGTCCTGCTGCTTGTGTCTGTGTGTCTGATTTTTCTTATTGTAAAATAACTATACCCTCCTAGAACTGTTGTCAGTATTGGGCTGATAGATTCCATTCCAATGCCCGCTGTGCGTCGGGATAAGCAACGTCAAGATCAGCACCCCTGTCAGTGGAGAGCTTACTCTTTTCTGGGGTGGAACCCGGTCTCTATTTTTTTATTTTATTGCTCTTTTGGTGATTCTAACCTGTACTTTGGGTTTTGAACAACTAAGTTCATATATATAAAGTGCACAAAACAGAGCCTATAATGTAATAAGCATTCAGCAAGACTTAACCCCTATTAATACTTTTATTATTGTTGCAATTATCTTTATTGGTGCTTAAGGTAATATAATTTTCTAAATGTGGCTTGGTTTTTCTTATAATCCTTGATTTTTTTAATACATGGAAAGCTGTCATGTTGAGAAACCCAGAGTTTATGACATTAAAAATTTTACTCAAAATACTTTCAACATAAATAACTTGTATTTCTGTAACCAGAAGAGTTGTTTATTAAGAAAAAAATCAAGTTGATTTGAGTGAGTACCCTTGAGGAACTGCAGCTCTGCCATTGGTCTTGCCATTACACCAACTGAGCACAGCCTCCATGCACTGTCAATGAATTCTGGTTATTAAAGTTTTTACTGGTAACAATAGAAAAAATGAGCTACTTGAAAGTAAGTGATTTTTAAAATTTTTTGCATATCTCCCCTCCCATTGAAGAACCAATTTCTCTTTTATTTTGATAATTCATTTATTTTTAAACCTTGAATCATCAATTTTATTTTTGAAAGGCAGAAAGAGAGAGATTTAGAGAGAGATCTTCCATCCACTGGGTTGCTCCCAAAACACCTGCAACAGCCGTGAATGGGAAGGACTGAAGTCAGGGACCTGGAATTCAATCCAAGTCTTGCACATGGGTGTCAGGGATCCAAGTACTTAAGCCATCACCTTCTGCTTCCCAGGATGTTTAGTGGGCAGAAAGCTTGAATTGTCAGTGGAAAAGCTGGGCCTCTATCCCTGGCTCTCTGATACAAGATGTGGTATCTTAACCCTTGTGCCAAGCACTCATTCTTCTCTAAGGTTTTTAAAGTTATTAAAGGCATGTAAAGGAATGGTAAATTAATTACTTTAATCAGCTTACATTTTGGGGCTACTTGGAATTGTCTAAAAATTTGACATTGAATGTATAAGTTGGAGGGCGAGAATCATTTGCTTGTGCTCAGCATAGAGAAAGTCATTGACTGATCCCCTCCAAAGTAGGTGTCCCCCTCCTTTATCTACAAGATTGTTTTGGGTGGGTTTGGTGATGAGGCTAAGGGTCCCTTCTGATCCATCCACTGAATTATTGATCCCTTCTGTGTCTCATTTTCCTCATGCACACTCTTTCCCATCCTCTACCACCACGCTGGCCACCACCGTTTCTCTTACGTTGTGCAAGAACCTGTGTCATGAAGCATGAAGCATAGACGTTAGGAGAAGTCTTGCAAACAAAGGCCTGCTTGCATCCTGGACCAGCACTTGACACAATGAAAACAAAGCACTTTTCATTCCTGTTACTTTTTTTTTTCTTTGAAG